CTATGTCTCTCTCTGTCTGTCTGGCAAGCACACGTGCCCTATAGCAAAAACCTCTCAAGCAAAAAAAAAAAAAAAAAAAAAAAATCCCTTTTCTGATTTTGGTCTAGTAAACTTACTGAATAAGTTGCTTAATTTTAAGCTACCTTAAATTTGAAAAGATATCAGTAATTAAATACGTAAAGGCAGCAGTGGTGCTAGTACACAACACTAAAGCCACAGAGAAAGGTCCCAAGTTCTCGTCCCAAGGTCTTGTGTATGCCGGGTATGCATCTGCCCATCATTCTGGCTGGCTGAGGCTGGAGGTGGGTCATGGTGCAAAAACCCTTCTGGGTGTACCCCTTTCTCTCTCTCTTTATCTTTATGTCTCTCCCCTAGAAGAAATAAATACAATTTTTAAGAAAGTAAAAAATAGAGATATGGGTTACTTTAACTAATCCATGCTGACTTTCTTTATTATGACATCGTAATCCATTTCATCACCTACTACAGCTAAAAAAATGCTTTGTCTCATTGCATTAGTCATTGAAAACAGAATCACAAGGGAAAATGTATTTAACAAAGAAAATACCAAGTTCCCTTGTTCTTTTCATTTGCATTGCTTAAGTAAATAAACTGAAAATACAGATCAACCAATCTCAATTTCCTGAGAATAAATATTGAAGTTATAGCACCCTTTCCATATGAAGATAATGCATTGTTTTTAGATGTGTATTGTTTATTCTACTTAGTGCATATTTAAACATTTCTCATTTTTTCCTTTCTTTTTTTGTTTGCTGGGCATCATGAGACAAGAGAACAGTGAAGACAGAGGTAAATAATATTTAAGCCAGGAAAGATACGCATCTTCCCTTCTGACTGTTGTGAGAAGCTGAGTCAATCTATTACAATAGGCGTTGAGCTTAGCTGGAATTGACTATTGCTTTGATACTTTCAGTGCCCAGACTTGACACGCAACTGTTCCTCGTGTTGAGAGTGTGCTTCCACATGCTAGAGAGGTTTTTGCAATGTCTTTAGTCAGCTCGAGCTACTAAAACAATTGCCGTAGAGGATGGTTTAAACTACATTTATTTCTCACAGTTCTGGCTGCTGGTGTCTTAGCCCACTATTGTGTTGCTAACAGAAATACCTGACATTAGGTGGCTTATAAAGAATTATCAAAGAATTCAGCCTACAGTCCTGATGACTGGAAAGTCCGAAGACACAGGGCCTGCATCAGGCCAGCCTCGCGTGCTACCTCACAATACGACCAGCAGAAGCAGAAAGGATAGTGCCTGTCTCCAAAGAGAGAGACCTGGGGACAGCCATCTTGTTTTTAGAACAGCCTGTTCTCAGGGACTCTAACCCTTTCTCGTGAGAATGAGAACTTACTCTGTCTCGTAAGGCGCAGCATTAATCCATTTGAGAAGGTGAGGCCTCCATGACCTAAACATCATCTTCAAGGCCTTGTCTCTCAAAGATCTTACCACCTCCCAATGTCATTACCGAGCTTCCAGAGCCTGAACCTTTGGAGAATAAAATATGATCTACATCACAGCCCTAGGGAGTATAGGATCAAGATGCCAGCAGATTCAGCGGCTGGCGAGGGCCTGTGCCTGTTTTGCAGATGCTTGCTTTCTCACTTTATCTTCATATGGGGCGTGTGGTGCTCTGCTGTCTTCATCCCCATTCATGAGGGTTCTACCATCATGGTCTAATTATCTCCCCAAATCTCCACATTCTAATGCCATCACTTTGGGGATTTGGGTTTCCCATATGAATAGCGGATATCTTAAAAAAGTAGAGGGCTGATGCTGTTAGCTCAGCAGTTAAGGGAGCCTAAATCCCACGTAGCTGAACACAGCTCAAATCTTGGCCTCCAGTATCTTGAAAAACATGTTGGGAGCATATGCATATATGCCCCAAATCCTGGCAGGATGGAAGGAAGGAGAAAAAGGATCATATTGTGACCATTGGGGGATGCTTTCTCTCTCCCTCACTTCTCTGGTGAATGCACAGACACTCTGGCAATAAAAAAAAAGTTAGAGGGTCAGCAGATGGCATAGTACTTATGTCCTTGGACTCCCACATGGCCAATAGCAATTCGAGTCCCGGATCCAGGGACTTCAAAATCACGCCAGGAATGTGTGCATGCATGCCCAAAATCCCAAGAGGAGAATAGAGAAGGGATGGAGCCTTGGCCATCCTGCTTGGGGCGGGGGAGCGTGTCTGTGTGTGTGTGATTTCTCACTTTCCCTTTCACTGTCTCTCTCTTTCTCTTTCTCCCTATCTCTGTCTCTGTCTCTGGGGAGCACATATGCCTTAAGTCAGAAACCTCTTAAAAAGAAAAGTTAGTGGGAGACCCGCAGTTAGTGTAATGGCTATGTCACTGGACTCCTACGTAGTCGACCGCGGTTCGAGTCCCGGACCCGGTGGCTTAAACTCATGCCAGGCAGGTGTGCGTGCGTGCCCAAGATCCTGAGAGGAGAATGGAGGAGAAGAGGTTGCGGCGCGGCCATCCCCCCGGGGGGTGATTTCTCTCTTTCTGTCTCTGTCTCTCTGTCTCTCTGTCTGTCTGGTGAGCACATGTGCCCTGTAGCAAAAACCTCTTCAAAAAAAAAAAAAAAAGAAAAGAAAAGTTAGTGGAAAATAGATATTATAAAAAACTGTGTGTGCATTTCAATTTTTTGGCACAAAAATAAACCCTTACTTTAATTCTATCTTCCCATAAACTTTCTGAAGTCCCCTTAGATGAATTTTTAGTCAGCAGCAGGATTTTTTGGGGGGAGCGGGCCTGGGTTTGTTCTCCCAGCTTGTGGATTTCAGTTGATAGAAGAGAAGAGACATGGCCAACCTGTGTAAGTTCCCCAGAGGCAGCTACTCACCTCTGAAAGCCCACCATTGAGGATTCCAGAGTCTACAGACTTGCCCTGTCTCTCTCACGATCAGCTGAGGTCTGTGGGTGACATTTTTAGGGTAAGAACTGTATGTCTGGGTTTTGGGCTACTCCAAATGGACATGCTGGCACACACATGGCCTTTAGGAATGTATCAGAATTGCAACCTCTTTCTTCATACCTGCTTGTGTGTTTGTAGTCTCTGCAGTTTGCACTATCAAAGGTATCAGAGTTCATAGACCTTCCTGGGCTGTCCTTGGAGGATTTGATTCCCTCTTTGGAATGCAGTTGATTTGGTGGCCTTGTAACCTCAGCTTTCTCATGAGTTCCAACAAAGTTATAATTCTGTAGACTATTCGGCTTCTTGTCATTGTTACGGTGGGAGCAATGTTTTGTTTTGTTGTCCATTTTCGACATCCTCACCAGAAACACGACTCCCCAAAGATAACATTTTCAACTCCCAGTAGGGTGCATACATTGGCCATTTTGCTAATACCAATTTAGTCATAGATTTAGGGTTGGACTTTCCTCATTTTCCCTCCTTGCAACCCATAGAACACAATGGAAGCAACTACCTGGGGCCAGGGCTCCAATCTGTAGCCAAGGTTCATGCGTTGTCCAAACCCATGACCTAGTTTTCTTAGTGCTACACCACAGCACCTGGGTAACAGCAACCCTGATGGCTGGTGACACCAACCAAGAAAGGTGGCACCAATTTGTAATCCCAGTTGACTAGAGGGTTGTGAGTTTGAGGCCAGTTGGAGCAACATAGCAAGACACTGTTTAAAGAAGTGTTTTTTAAAACTCAGATTATACCATAGGGTGGGAGAAACTAAGCCTCCCACATGCTTATCACTTTTCAAGACAGACTTGTATTTTTGGCAAGGTCTTACGAATTCTCAGAACAGAATCTTTGAAGAGCGATGTGCACAGCCTGCACGGTAGAAAGAGAAATAGAGATGACTCAGTTCTGTGATCTGTGTAGTAACTCGGTCAGCACAGCCAATCCGAATCACTTAAGCCTCCATCATACTGGCTATCTAAAGTTACTGTGCGTTAGGTTTGTGTGAGTCGGCACTTAACAGACAAACTTTTACTTGTGCTTCAGCAATTCAGGGAAATATGTAATGCAGTCTTTACAGAAAATGAAAGTTTGGTAAGTACCTGAGAATTATTTAATTTTCAAACTATGGAAGTCATTATAAAAAACATCTTTACTAATAAATCAGCTTTCTTTATTTTTAAATAATTATTTATTTAATTTTATTTATCATTATTATTATTTTTAAATTTGATACAAGCACTCACCAGAAAGAGAGAGAGAAAATAAGAGAGCAAGCCGCCAGGTCCAGGACTCGAACTGTGGTAGGCCATGCGGGAGTCCAGCACCTGAACCACCATGCTACCTGCTGGTCCATAGTCAGCTCTCTTAATGTTTTATGTTATATTGTCCTTGTATATTTTAAACTTCTGACTGGTGTTCATTCAGACCTGGAAAAAAAAGAAAAAAAAAAAAAACAAGCAAAATGTCCATTTGAGCTATTATACTAGTGAGAATATTTTACCTTTCATTAAATGGCTTGAAGATTGCACCAAAAAGGAATTATATAGTTGAAGGTTAAGCAACTTGTCTTAAGTTTATATAAAAGCAGAGGAGTGTTTTTTCCTAATAAAGAAGTATAGTTACTGTGTTATAAGGGTCACAAGCTGGTAATTGTTTCTGGAGCAATTTTTTCGCCATTTAAAATACAAGTACCAGAAGTCAAATGTTTATCAATCAAAGCCTTGGATTCCAGGAGGGCAACCCCAGAGTGCCAAGCAGGGAGCACATACCTAATTCACTGAGAGACCTGGGCAGAGCTGAAGGGGGACACCTGGCTGAGGTTCGCAGTGAGAGTAGTCACATGTTGGTGCTCTCTTGAAGGTAGACTTCCTGGAGATCTTCCATAGGGATGGCACTGCACCTCGCTCAGAGGGGATGAGTCGCTCAGGAAGAGTAGCACCGTCTGATAGCAAATGCATTCACTTTGAATTCACAACTCCCCGTTAGCAGAATAAAGCGAAGGCCTGTCTGGCTTTCTCACGTGCCCAACATGGCACACATTCTTTTTGCAGAACAACGGAGCAGAAATGGTTTCTGGAAGTCCAGAGAAGAAAAAAATGACAGCTTTTTAATGTCTGAAATGAAAAGGGCAGTCAGTCATCTGTTGGATGAAAAAAAATCTATTTGAGGGACTAGGCAGTGGCACTGCAGTAAAACCGCTGGGCCCACTGAGCTCACACCCCAGGACCTCCCTGAGTATGCCTGGTGCGTGCCTGTGAGCTGGGTTGACTAAACCGGAGGGGACCATGGCCTGAGGATCACGTGCAGGACGTTGTCGCTACTTCCCATCTTTCATGGAAGAAATAAGTAAGTAAGCATAAAATAAATACATTTAGAAAACACGAAAAACAAATCCCAAATAGATAAGATATTTTACTTAAAAACTGTACCCCAAAATATAACTTTCGAACAAGGATGTTAGTTTATTTTTTAAGCACTGTTAACAGATCTCCAATTTCACAATCCCATTTTTCTGCAATAATAACTAGCCCTTAGCATTTATCTTAATGTATATTTCTTCTTTTATGACAATTATTCATAATGTAAATATTTTGGAAAAAGTTAAAGAGTATCTTGCCTTTTAAATTAAAAAAAGAAAGATATTACCATACAAAAACAGACAAGGATCTTGGATGTCTTCCCTCAATTTTTTTATTCATTTCAAAATGTCTAAGATTTTATTTAATTAAAACAGTCTATTTAGCTAGAAATACAAAATATTGGGGGGTTTTTTGAGAGAAACTATTTCCTTGCCCTTAACATTTTACATCAGAAAACTATTGAAGATTTTTAGCCATGTCGAATAGTTGCATTAGTCAAACTATTTTAAAATATTGTCACATTTTATATTGAGGTCTTTATTAATTTAAAAGGCACTAAACATGAGTTCATTTATTTACGATAGAATCGCAACCGATCTAAAATGACTAAACCAAAACCACGTTTCTAAAGGAAGCCACTTGTGCTTTTAACGTGGCTCGTTCACGTCACCTTGGCACCTCTTCAAGATCCTTAAAGTCACATCTGTTTCATGGATTTATTTGGAAAATGAAAGGGTTATGAGAACCTGGAAGACATTCATGTTGCCACCAAACATGAATTCAATTCTGCAGTCTTTGAAACAGCCTCCCCCAAGACACATTCTATGCATTTGGTTCCATATGGAACAATTTAGGCAATTCAAGAGGCCTTCCACATTAGATCAAATGATCTTTCCAGATGCCACTTTAAAATAACAAGCAGGTTTACATTGTTTACTTTCCAGTGGAGGTGACATTTAGAAAAATGCTTATCATCAATAGCTCCAGCCTCCGCTGACTGGACACATTAATTTGTTCTTTTAAAGACTACTGGAATATTTTGTACTTGTTGAAAAAATGTTTAACAGAATCTGTTAAATGCTCACCCTCCCGAGGCCCTCCATGAAGGTACTATGCCTATATTCAGGAGAAGAAAGCCTGTGACAAGGGCAGATGGGAATTTGAGTTTGGAGAAATTTTAATTGAATTAGAAAATAAATAGGAGGCAGGGCATGTAGATGGCATAATGGTTACGCTGCTAAAATCTCACGTGATTCCAAGTCCTGGACCTGGAAGCTTGAAACTTATGCCAGGTGTGTGTGCATGTATGCCCAAAATTATGAGAGGAGAATAGAGGAGAAGGAATTATGGTGTGGCCATCTCCCCTGGAGGGTGATTTCTTGCTTTGTCACTCCAGCAAATACATGCATTGTATAGCAAAAATCACTCTCTGAAAAAAAAAAAAAAGAAAAAAAGAAAGAAAATAGATATATCCAAACATTTCTGCTTATATATATTTCTAGGCCTTTCTCTAGTGCACTCAGCCAAAGTAATCTGTCTCTCCTCACCATTTCCACGGCATTTGAAGGGTCTCTCTACAGAGAATAATGTCCTTCTGCTAAGGGCATTATCCAAAGTAACTGCTAGATTATTCGGAGGTATGAAGCACGTCTTCAAAACCACGTCTCCCCTAGTATATTCCAGATACAGATCCTTTACCCAGTAACTATTTGATAAACACTGAGCTGAAGTGAAATGGACGGAATAGAGTGGATGAGATGGATGAAAGACACTGCCAGGCAGTGGGGCAATGGTAAGTTGCAAAGCTCTGTGAGGCTGACTCACGTGAGGGGTTCCAGGGTCACACAGGAGGCCTTCTGGAGCAGGTCTGTACCTACCCATGATCTGGGACTGGCTGAAGCTGGGGGTGAATTGCAACATCAAAACCCTGTTGAGGTTACTGTCTCCCTGTCTCTCTGTCTTTCACTCTCTCTGTCTTTCTTTATCTCTCACTATGGAATAAATAAAAAGAAAGATATTAAATAGCGAAGGTGGAGGAAAGTTTGGAGACTAAATCAAAAGAGGTTCAAGAAAAGTAAAATTGGAAAAGAAAGAAATTTGTTCAAATTGTACATTGTATCCAAATAGGAAATGAGATGTCTATCCTTTTGAAGAAAGGTATTTGGGTTCCGTCATATTTTCTCAAAAACCACTTCTCTTTCATGTAAAATAAAGACTGTATGTGGAGAAGGAAGGGAACGAAACGTTCCCACTCTGAACGTCAGGTGCCCTTGCCGCTGCAGGGAACTCCCAGCCCAGCCAAGGTTTCCAGCTGTAAAACATCAAAGAGCAGAGGCAGAGACAAGTTGAATCCAGATAACTGCGGGTGATGTCTTCAATCTATTTGACCCTCTTATTAAATGATTTCAGACTTTGTATCCCTACAGAGAAAAAGAAAAGTGAACTTCCTTCCAAGCTTCAAAATGAAGACCTGAAAAGATCTCAGTGTGGTCTCTGAACTCACCCTAAAAACTCACTTCAAACACTAAGAGAAGAACACAATAGCTGTAAAGTTCCAGAAGTGAACATTCAGTTCTGGATTATAGGCTGGAGTATTCAGATTCCTGACAACCCATAGACTGAAGATGATTCTTACTCCGTACAGTTCCAGAATGTTGCTAAATCACAAACATCTCAATGTTTCCTTGCCAATAAATGAACAAACAAATACATCACTCATGTTGCTTCAGCATTGTATAATGGGAGTAGCAGAGAAAGGCTTTCAAACAAAGAAAAATTAGTCTGTATTTTAGATAGAAGTACTGGATACACTGTCACTCTTAATCATTGAAAATAACATTTCCGAGAACAGGCCTTCTTCAAGAGACAACTCCATGGCTCCTACGATCTAGCCATTTTGGGGAAAACAAACGGAGAAATGAAGAGCTCCCACTGATAATTCGGCCTCCAGCATACAAAACTCGCGTGATTGAACTTCCAAGTTTGGGAAGAAACCAACCATCCACCAGATGACTAGAAATCGCTGCATGACCACAAGAAATATGGGGAAGCAGGAAAATACCTCTCTTCCAAGAGAAAAGGATAACTCCTCTTCCACCACACACAGTTCAATGGAAATCATGGAAATGTCTGATAAAGAATTCAGAACATTCATAATGGCAAAGCTAACAGAGATGGAAGAGAAGAGAGACAAGGAACTGCTGAAGAGAAAGGAGAAAGGAGTTGAAGAGTTCCAG